ACTTTTCAACAGCTGTCTTGACTTTGCTGAGCCATGCATACATATCTTCTTTGGCAGCTGCAGCAGTCAGGAGGTTGAGAGATCTCACAGGACCTTGTACAGCCAGCGCACTGAAGACCTTTGTCTTTAGGGCTGCTGGTGGCACAATTGTGTAGGCCAGGGGTCGGCAACCTTTTTGATATGAAGTGCCATTTTAAAAAAAATTTTTTATCAGCGTGCCAACGAGATCGAGAATTATCAACGGGGGGAGGGGCGGTTGAGGAGCTTGACACTCGTGAACTATCAGCAGGAGGGCGGGGGGAGCCTCGCTGCGGGGAAGCAGTGTCTGGAACTGTCAGCGCAACGTATTATGCCGAATTGAACAATAACATTTAAATAATTGCTTTAAACGGCATAATAATAAGGACGATCGTCCGTTCTGTGATTCTCCAGAAGACACATGTTGTGATTTTAGGGTCATGCAGAGTGAGATGAGATCGCTGTCCCTTCAAGAGAGAGAGAGAGAGAGAGGTGTGGCTTGTGCATGTGTGTGTGTGGATGGTAGAGCGACAGTGAGGGAACGTGTGTATGTTTCTGGAAGTGAAACGAGGAAGCAGAAAAACAGAGGTCTGTGATGTATTTTGTGAAACAGAAGAACAGCTAAATAAATGCAACGGCCTCCCAAGAAGAGCTCGCCTCTCTCCAGTCATTTATGCTAAAGTGGGTTATTGAACTTGTTGAGCTTGTTGCTTCTGCCCTCCTCGACTACGGTCTGGGAGCCGACAGGAAAGTTCAACACACAGATGGCCAGTCCGCCCCTTTGTAGCATATTATTTGGATGAGAGATGAGTAGATCGCCACTGGGCTTTAAAGACACAGCCACGCAAAAACTGCGGCATGTGTACAGCTCCTTATGGGTAGGCCTACTGCAATTTGTGAAGTGCTCCGTGGTGAAACGATCAGCACTGCACCACGGAGAAAAGCGGCAGAAAGTCGCCTGGAGTGAAAGAGAGCGGGGCGGTGCTGCGTGCATGGCTTCCTTCTGCAGGTAACGGGGACACGCGCTCTGGCGGCGGTCTCGTTCATGATCCGAAAATACAATTTAAATATTTTGCACACTTATTCCTAGTGTGCCACTGGTTACGGTGCCGCGTGCCAACATTGGCAGGGGTTGCCGACCCCTGGTGTAGGCTGATGGCAGAGGTGTCACTGACTTGGTGGAAGAGCCACCCTGACCAATCACTAGGACACCACGATCAGATAGAACTCTACAGAGAATGCATCTATACCCAGTTAGTTGGAAGCAGGGATATACACAAGACAGAACGGCGGCACAGGGGCTGACACCCACCACACCACACCACCACACCACACCAGCACCACCACAACACCACACCACCACACACAGCAACCCAGCACACCACACACACACACACCCAACATCAGCGACACGAACACCACACAGACACACTACACACACACACACACCATCACACACAACACACACAGCCCACACAACACACACACACACACACACACACACACACACACACACATCACACACATCATACACATCATACACATCATACACATCACACACATCACACACATCACACACACACACACACCACACACACACACACACACACACACACACCACACACACACACCCACACCCACCCACACACACCTAGCACACACAACACCAACACATCACACACACAACAACACACACACACCACACACACACCACACACACCACACACACACATCACACACACACACACACACACACACACACATGACACTTCCTATGCATGCCAAGTGAGGTCAGTGAAGGATCAATGTTACTTCTGGAGCGATTTGTGGTGCTGATGTACGACCGAACCAGTGAAAGCATGGAGGTGAATGATGCCAGGAAACAGCTCTTCACACAGAAGTCTAGATCTCTAGAGAACATTCCTCCAACCCAGGCAGCACTGAAGCAGCACATCAAACGCACTTGCTACCAGGCCAACTGTTGGAACCAGGCATTGGTCCTGGATCCAGAGATGCCAGAGCCGTCTGACTGGGGCTGGACAGAGGAAACAACTGGGTGGCAGCCACTTTGGACCACTCTACCTGAAGCATCAAAAATCGTGCCATGAATTGATCCACTGTCGCTGCCAGAAAGGGGGCACTGGACGATGCAAGTGTGCCAAAGCTGCACTGAAGTGCACTGCACTATGTTTCTGTTCTGGAGACTGTTAGATTTAGATCTGTATTATTATCATCATTAAAATAGACTAGCACCATGGATCTATTATTTTGTATTATTATCCCTATAGTTTAAAAATTGAAGCACATTTCACTATATTGCATAGGTCGAATCCAAAAGTTTTTTATGTAATTTGACCTTGTCCTTGATCTAAATGAATTGTCTTTAATTCTGGCGATCTCAAAAGTATCATCAGATGAATGGGCATCCCCAATTTAGGTGGAAATGACACATTAAATGACACATTATTTTCTACATCGTTTGGTTCCAACATTTAAAAAAACGTGGACATTAAACACAGAGGACTGGCGGCCATCTTGGATTTGACTGTTACTTTGATGTCATGTATCTAGCTGATGATAAGTTCATATCACACACACACACACACTAAATAATTTGCAATTTTGCAAATTTCAACTGATTGACAGCTTATTTTTGGTCAATTTCTACCTTTATTTTCACCTAAATGCATTTTCTTGAATTCTGGCAACCTCAAAAGTATCACCAAATGATTGGGCATCCCTAATTTAGTTGGATATGACACCCTTAAATGTTTTTCTACAATGTTTGGTTCCAAAATTAAGCGTGTTTGAACATTTGACCCGAGAGACTGGCGGCCATCTTGGATTTGACCTCTCACGGTCCTCACAGGTCAAATCTGACTTCCCTCCACATCTGAAAATAAACCTTATGGTATGCACTAACTATGCTAGAAATGTCATGCTTTTCTCATAAAATGCACAATTGTTATAATATGAGAGCTTATCTGCTGTACTAATAGACCTTTCCTAGCTGGAGATCACTCAAAAGTCAATCGTTTAAGGCATCAAGTAATGCCTTTGTTTCCAAACTACAATTTGTATTGAACAATCAGGGTTGTGTAACTATTCACGTGTCAGACTGGCTTTTTCCAATAGTTCGATTGACAGATCATTCGTCCAATCACATGCCATGTATTTCTTAAGGTTGCCTATCCTTTCACAGCTGTTTCCTTTTACGTCTTCTCAGAATATTGTGTGCCTTCTATTGTGTGTACACCAGTTCCTACAATAAAATGCACTGTTTAACTTAAAATAACATATAAAGGTATTTTTGACAAAAAAGTACTTAGACAAGCAGTGGCATCTTTAGCAACATGCATTGAAACGGTTACGTTTAAATGGAGATTTACTGAAAGATTTGCCTCTCGGATGGAAACTGAAAGTGTTGCTGAGCGATGCCGGGTTGAGCGCTGTTGCTTGTTGCCTTTTTGAATAATTAAAAAAGTGAACGTCCTGTCAATCATGGCCTTGGTTACAAGTCTTGTTTCATTATGAACAAGCTGCATTGAACCAAGAGTGGTATTAAAGAGTAAAGGTCAGTTTTTGCTATTATGTGAACTGAATAAATAAAAGATAGTGCTGCGCAATATAACAGCCCTGCAATATATATATAACTTATTTCAAATGATTATCTGACGCATTGACTAAAGTCGTTGGTGTGGCAACGCAAATCTGTGGTACATTTCAAGATGCACTTCGTGGTGATGCTTTATCAGGGCTGCATTCTATTGAACCTACTTACCTGATGTACACAAATATAGTAGCAGAATAATACCTCAGTAAGAAACCACATGCACTCAGTACAACATGACTGAACATGTAAAAGCTGCATTGGATGTATTTAACTACATTGCATACATTCAAACACATAGATACTTGTTCTTGTAAGTAAAAGAGGCTTTATGCTTCTACTTCACTACATTACTATTAGTGGTTATACTTTGTTGCTTTGCTACTCTAGTAGGTTAAGTCTATGAGTAATACAAGCTATAAATACTGTATCTAGGACCTACAGAGAGAGACTTTTCTGTGCTATGCCATCTACTTTCCCTTTAAGAATTATCAGCTTTCTTAAGAGATATATTTTAAAGCAGGATCTCTAATGCTTCTGAAGTCTGCTTACCATTTCCGATTATCTCAGTCCTGGCACCCACTTCAACTAAGCATTAGCATCCTTTAGCTTCAGTTTACAGTTAGCCTAGCATTAGCATCTTCCACAGTCACAGCACCTATTATTTTGTTTTTCCCACTGTCGTGTTTACTGATTGTAGGACTGTTAACTGTAGACTTAATAATAAATAGCTTTGTGCTTTGACTGTGTTTGTACTGCAGTCAGTTTATGCATAGAACAAGTATGTGATACATCTCAAAGTCCATCCCCCTTGCTAAGCCTTTTAGACGTCAACAAATCACTGACATTGTCTTCAGTTGAAAAAAATAAATATATATATATTGTAATGGTCACTCAAAAATGATATTCTAAATGAAGATGCTCCACCTACCCGAAAAACCTTCACAATTGAGAGAAGATACAGCTCTTCTGGCAACCTCAAAAGTATCACCAAATGATTGGGCATCCCTAATTTAGTTGGATATGACACCTTAAATGTTTTTCTACAATGTTTGGTTCCAAAATTAAGCGTGTTTGAACATTTGACCCGAGAGACTGGCGGCCATCTTGGATTTGACCTCTCACGGTCCTCACAGGTCAAATCTGACTTCCCTCCACATCTGAAAATAAACCTTATGGTATGCACTAACTATGCTAGAAATGTCATGCTTTTCTCATAAAATGCACAATTGTTGTGCTTATCCGCTGTACTATATGTGGCCACTGCTTTAATGTGTGTTTGTGTGTGTGTGTGTGTGTGTGTGTGTGTGTGTGTGTGTGTGTGTGTGTGTGTGTGTGTGTGTGTGTGTGTGTGTGTGTGTGTGTGTCTGACCTGATGTGGCACTAGACCCAGAGAGGTGGGAGGTTCATTCATCCTGTCATCACTGCTGCTGGCTATTGCATAGCCTCTGAGGATAGAGAAAAAGAGGGAGTACATTATATACTTATATCAACTTGTTTAAAAAATAAAATAATCCTAAACATTACATATCATATTGTATGAAAGGTATTGGCCTAGCATTTAAACTAATGCATACGGTTTTATTTATAATCCATGGGGTGTAGTATATCTACATTATATACCAAAAAAAAGATGTGAATTTGACCAATATTGAGATCCAAGAAAGCCCAAAAACAGTTTAACATGATTTGATCTGGGAGCAACTGATTGCCAGTAAATCTACCCAGGCTTAAAAGATGTGACTCAAGGATAACAACACAATGGCCTCAGAATGTTTTTGCAAAGTGGCCATCGTATTGATACAAAATGAATCCTTAAGTGACAATTTCTAAAGGCCATGGTTGCTCTTATAAGGCTGCCGTAATGGCTTTAAAAGGGAGAAAGAGATGAAGGAAAAGAAAGAAAGGAATAGAACAGCTATGAAATAAAAACAAGGACACAGAGGGCAGTTGCAGGAGGAGATCTTCATGTAAGGCAGGGGTGTCCTAAACTCTTTTCACTGAGGGCCACATACAGAAAAACATAGAAAGGGCTGGGCCCCTCACTAGAGGTGAGGTATACTGCCTCATAGGTTAAATTATAATTCAGCCAAATCAATCAAATGTAGGTCAATTATTATTATATTTCTACTTGAATATGATTTAAGAAACATCACAGCTCTCCATAGGGTTTCAGTTATCCTGTTGCAGCTCATCCCTTAAAACAGAAGCCTCAGATTGCTTATAATAAGGGGAAATATGAAGGGTCTATTTAAAGCTTGTTATGGAAATAAAACTAAGATTTGTTAGAACATGTTGTCAGCTCTTGACTGAATGTCTTTGAGTAGTGGGCTTATTAACACATGAAAACTACTGTGTAATATAGGCTCACATATATATTTAAGAAGTATAATATAAGACAAGCACGAGTTTCAGGTGGAGGCCATATACCGTTATACTTTAAGAATTTGCTGAGCCAATTAGAAATGGACAACGGGGCGTATCTGGCCCCCGGGCCGTAGTTTGGACACCCCTGATGTAAAGGAAGGCGTTAAACAACCATAGAGGTACAGTTACATACATTTTCTCCTTCGCTTCATTGCTTTGTAAGCTTTGTATGCAGCATAGGCAGCGTAGCTCTGCAACGGCTTATAACATCTCAAAACACTCAGAGAAAATAGCTGTCTTATCAGCCCCAGCAAGCATACGACTTCCACCGACACATGCACACACAATTACATTCCCACAATGACACATTCTGTGCACATTTAATAAGCATGAAAACATCCCCATCAGTGTTTGAAAAAAGAAGCACTTTTACGAGTAGGGAAAATCGAGCAATTACAGATTGACAAGTGAACTTGAGAGCAGACTGAATCAGTGTTCAAGCTTTTGGAGCATGAAAGTGAAAGATTGATTATAAATGGCAACAAAGCTTCTACAGTGTACACAAGTTGTTGGCCTCGAGTACATTTAGGGAGCTGTGCTACAACTGCATTATATAAGACCTCAGCTGCAGGGTGGCACCATCAAAAAGCAAAGTAAAGCTTGCTGAACGTTTTAGAAGCACAACCTCAAAGGCAAAAGGAGGAAGTCCACCAATCGGAAGGGGAGCGGTTTTATCCTTGGGCAAAATACTGAACCCCATATTTTCTCCCAGTGGCACATCCATTGGTGCTTTAGTGCGTGTAAATGTTATTCGCTGAGGAGCAGGTGGCAAGTTGTATGGTAGCCTCTGCCACCAGTGTATGCATTGGCTTGTGCTGAAAAGTGTTTTGAGTTCTTGCTAAGAGTAGGAAGCCCTTTATAAATGCAGTCTTTTTTGCTTTTAACCTCCTACTGGTGACTCACTAAAGAAAGTGACTGTTTGTGTTAGCAAGGATCTTTTTTAAGAGTTTTATTCAGAAATAAATCAAAACTAGATACAAAATCTTTTGGAACCAAGTTCTATTTACTAAGGAGTTGCAATAGGAAAGGCAGTGACTCGCCATATACAATTGGTCTTGTTTTAAATGTACATTAAATCTAACATTGGATTGTCGCAGAGATAGTAGACAGGAAACCATCAATAAAAGTGCATCATTTACATTTTCAATAAAGCAAACAGGGATGATCAAGTATGTTTCGGTTTATTCTCTAGACTTTGAATGTAGTTCTCTGTAAAGCGTTTAAGCTATTGAACATATATTTTCTACACTTGTTTTAAACAGTGTTTGATATCTCTTTCTTACCTTACGTCTTTATTTCTTGTTGAATCAAAGCAAGCTTTAGGTCATATTGTACAACTCGAGACTCCATACTATGGTTGTACTACTACTATCACTACTAATACAAATAAGTGTGCTGTGCTTACCCTTCAGTGTGTTGCAGTATGGACACCATCATCTCCACAGCGAGGGCTCCAGCTATCATGGCCAGGCCTGGTCTACTGACCGTGCACTGCTGATCCAGAGTCCGATCCCTGGTTGACTGGTTACAAAAAAACAAGTGGTAGAAGTAAACAACAGTCAATAAACAGTGAGAAGAGCAGTCATGACACCACGTTCCTTCCACTTATCCTGAAAGAGCTTGGCGAAAATAAGGAATGGAGGAAAAAAGTTTGGGCAATTAGCTTATCACAAATAAAGTGTTTTGGAACGCAGGAAATCATTGAAATGTATGTCTAACAGATATAGATGATGCTGTTATCCAAAGTGGCTGAGGTTGAGTGAGCAATTATTTCAAAATGACTGGTAATGGAGTCCTTTCAGTGAAGTAGCCTTTTAAATATGCATGCTATTCGCATAAATGGGTGCAATTTCTGAACTAAATTGCATCACACCTCATAAACTAAATGTCTGGATTTTACACTGTGGACCACTTTTGGCTAACTAAGATCCAAAGAGCTACAACACGAGCATGGCTACAAACACTAAGACAGAAACGCATGTTAGCTTGTTTCCTTCACAGCATGTCTCACTTTGTAATAGGAACTGATCAAAGACACAGCAGTGATAGATAACCTCCATTGTTGTACCATTATACTTCAATCCACAGACAACTCTCGGGACATTATCCATAAGTTCCTATTCATTCAGCATGCTCAGCTTTAGCGAGAGCAGGCTGTGACTCTGACTCAAATGTTAATATTACTCTGACCTGTGACAGCGGGCTGCGGCCATCGGCATTTATATGGGAATCAGAGCTGAATAGCACAGCTTCCAACCAATTGCTCTGTCCTTAAATAGCTGATGAATTGCTTTCATGCTCTCAAATCAAAAGGCCATGAAGGGGAAAAAGACCACAGAGAGAAACAAAGAGTGTCAAAAGGTACAAAAATGGTACACAGGGTGGCAAGAAAAAAGGAAAGGCTGTGTCAGGCACCTTCCTGCAATTTCACATAGCACTTTAAAATTGTACAGTTGTTCAGCTTATGACAATGAATATCAGAAATGTTTTAACTGTATTCACAATAAAGAAAAATACCATAAACCTTGCAATTTCAAACTGCATACTTATTTAGATTATAGTTAGTATACAAATATAGTTTGGGGAACAGATCAAGCTTTAAACTCAAACATCAACATTCTAAATGTAATATATTAATCCTGTGTTAGCACAGCACAACATTTGCATTACTTTAATTTGTGCTTCTGGGCGGTGGAAAAATGTAAGTACACAATATTCACCCTCCTTTGAGCTCTGTTTTGAATCTTCTCCAACTACTGAAACAAATATCTGACTCTTTAGCTGCTAAAGGCTCTACTATGTTTACCAGCTAGTTGCTAACTGCATCAGTAAAGTATTGGGTGCTGGTGAGGTAACATTCAAATGGTTTATCAGAACCTTTTGCTGAAAACTGCCAAGAGTGTTGATTGGAGAAAACATGTCAAACAATTCTCCCTTTTTTGTGTCAAATGTTTTGGCTGTGTGTTTGTTCGTGACGTGAGTTGAGTGCATGCTTGGTATCAATGTGTTCTCCTTACATCTCCTGGTGCCACCACATCGTTGCAGAAGTAGCAGCCCAGCTTGTGCCCTGGGATGTTGGAGAACAGAGAGGATCCTGGGACAGTAGGTGCTGTGCCGGCGGGTGTGGAGGATGAAGAGGAGGCAGAAGAACAGGAAGTGGAGGAGTCGGCCCCTGCAGAAACACTTTGACTGACGGGGGGTTTCTTCAGGCCGTGGCGCATCACGACAAATGTGTCAAAGCCTAGAGCGGCGTTCATCACAAGCTGAAAGGGGGAAACACAACAATCACACCAAGTCACGATGAATACAAAAAAAAAAGTCACGAATAGCTTTGGATTTATTAGGAATACTTAATATTTCTCCCAAACTCTCACACTACACATTTCAGCCAAATTAAATGAACTAAATGTGTCGTTTTATACAATTTAAAATGGTTGTGATGTGTTCAATGGTTTCAGAAAGAAATTATACAAAACATTAATAGGCTCTTTACAATGTTGAAAGCATCTAGACTTTTGGGGAAGCAACGGAAATAAATGATGAGGCCAATTTGCGGAGAAGTCTGAGACAGCCCCGCAGCACAAATGGCCAAATAACCTCTCAGCGGGGCTGGCCAGAGAGAAAACCTAATCAGCGGTCCAAAGAACACTGCATTTAGCAATATAGCAGCGTGATAGCACTAGGGGCTTTACAAATGAATGACAAAAAGTTCCATTATTTCACGTTGCCTGGCAGCTAATATCATTTCAACTGGTAAACAGGTATCGAGCTATTTCAATTTCCTGGAAGAAAAGTGAAGTTCAACTTCCAGCTTCAAGTAAGGAAAACAAGAACAATGTTTACTAAGTCATACATGATTCCTGTTACAGTGCTGCATTGATCCTTAGAGCAAAGTGTTGAAAGACTCCGTCCTGATCCATTGAATTAACATAAGCACCACCATCAAACTAATGTGCATTTTTTAAATCAAAGTACAATAACAGACACAATTGATGGGGATCAACTAAATCTTTTTCTAACACTAAATGCTGTGTTTTTGTCTAGACAATTAGAAACAATTCACTTAACAGGAAACAACGCATTTGACATCCTGCTTCTGGCCACATGATTAGTGTAAATTGAATATTCTTAAGGTGATAGATGAGTCATCGTTGTTCCCCATCATTGTCAGTTGCAAATGTTTGTCTATTTGTCATTTGGTGGTGGACAGCACATTATTAGAGATAATGAGGCTCCAATACAAAAGCACTGACAAGCAAGATGGAAAAGCATTTGTGTGGGCTAAGTGCATTTTGTTAGGACAAGATATTATCTGTCCCCTGAGAATATGATCATGACAGTTTTTCCCTCTCCAAAATACTTTTAAACGTTATTTCGCTCCTCCCCAAGCTGGTCAATGTGTGTGTGGCTGTTCTGTTGTTCTTACCTTCCTCTTGCTTGCACCTATCACTGTGGGCAGCCAGCGGCTCTCCCTCGTATCCATTAGTAAGAAGATCACGTCGTGTTCTGAAATGAGCTTCTCCAGGTGCTCGACATCCTTCTGGGCCTGGGAAAGAGTGGCCTCAGAGAAATTCACTGGGTGACCAGGCATAGGGATGCTCATGTTGAATCCCTCTGCATTCTGAGGAAGTAGACAGAGACAAAGAGGAAAAACAAGGAGACAAGGAATTAGAAACGGATCTCATCACTTAGAAGATTAATGCTCCATGTGCAAATGTAGTCCTTTTTGCATTCAACTATTTTTTTCCATGGAAGATAATGTGTTCTTTTTGGTTTTATATTTGCAATAGCTGTACATTATCAACCATTCAAAATGCCACATCTGAAGTATTTGAATTATACATACAGTACATTTAAAAATCACTCAAGCATTTACATTCCACAGTGTTGCATCTAGAAATCAAAATTGTTAAGTTTGGGAAGGTTTTGAAAACACTCTTGCTTACTTATTGACAGTGATAACAAAAAAAACCTACATTGTGTCAAAAATGTACTTCAACATTTGATGTCCTATAGGGTCTTTTTATGGAAAGAAAATGGATCAGCTGCTGTTAGTGAGCAGGTCAGAAGCTAAAAAGTGAGCAGAGCCAAAATGGTCTTTTGATGTGCCTCTGCTGAGTGAGATGCTAGTCTAGACAGATACGTGATGGCAGAGCAGGTGCAGTCACTGAACTGTCCCTCTGGGGAATATTTGTTCACCTCATGGCCATAACACACCTGAGTCCACATACATGTACTCTCCTGTATAAGTCGATAGGAAAGTATAAAAGGAAACCTTGAATCTCCACAAGAAATCTGAAATTACTTTTATTGTCAATTGCCAAACCTCAATATATATATATATATAATTATCTCCAGGGATTGCAGGAATGACATCAGAGCAAACTAAATGTCAAGAGTAAATGAACAGTGAAGAGAGGGAGAGAAAAGGGCAAAGACGAGGTGTGAGATCTTAACAAGAAGGAATGCCACTTTTACCGAATCAGAGGAATTTACACACTGCCTTCGCTGTAAATGTGTCAAGAGTGGGAGTGTTAACTCGGGCTGGAATTTACATTGCACTCTGACGCAAGTGTTGCTAAGCATTGCGTAGGTAGTTTGTTGTAGAGCAGTGATGTTAATCATATTCATAGTTCCACTACAAACACTTCAAGTCAAAGAAATAAAAAAAGAAATCATTCCCATTGTGGAAAAATATCTCCCTCCAAGGAGAAAAAACACTCAATGATAATCCAACGATGCCACTGTTGATGATAGGTTGTGTCTTCCTGGTCGAATGTACTTATTGTAAGTCGCTTTGGACAAAAGCGTCAGCTAAATGCAATGTAATGTAATGATACTTCAACCAGCTCTGACCTCACTGTTGATAACATGTAAAAAGAGGAAAAAAGGGGTTGGTGCCAACACGACAAAATACCCTTTAAATGTCAGGGTATTCAGGTATTTGTCCGCAGACAAAATATTAATCTGCTTACGACCTTTTCAACATTTTGACCTTGTGTGAACCGACTCCTCTCGGTTCAATCGGGTGCTCTCTGCTATCAGAGTCCATAGTTTGTATCTTTCTTTCACACCCTGGTGCCACTTGTTTGTAGCAAAACAAGGCAGGAACACACACACACACAACAGCACACACACACAGCACTACACACACACACACACACACACACACAACACACACACACACACAACACACACCACAATCACACACAACACACACAACCACACACACACACACTACAGCCCTACAACACACTACACACACACACACCACACACACACACCACACACACACACACACACACACACACACACACACACACACACACACACACACACACACACACACACACACACACACACACACACACACACACACACACACACACACACACACACACACACACACACACACACACACACACACACACACACACACACACACACACACACCACACACACACACACACACACACACACACACACACACACACACACACACACACACACACACACACAGAAAAATAGAAGGGCAGGTATGGGTGCAGCTTGTATTGCCTGTGGACAAACGAACTGTCGAGACAAACATCATGAGAGCAGAGCCATCAATCAAGTGTTAAACCTTCTGTTCTTCACTTCATGTCATTCCCAGAAGAAAAGGAGAGGAACAAATTACAAGGGCAGCAAAGTAACAGGGATATAGATTTGATGACATGCCAATTATTTGTGCGTGTGTGTAAATGGGCCGTAAGGAAGACATAAGACATATTCTTGTTGCTGACTATTATCCAGACCCATTGTATCATGTTCAGGAACAACCTATTACAGAGATGTCACAGTCTGCAGGGTGTACAACTTTTATATGAGGCTTTAGTCTTTCTAAGATCAAGGGAAATCCGATAATAGTTTACCGGTCAGACAGTGAGTGAGTCTCTAAGTGCTTTCACATAAAGATTAACCAGGTGTTTTCTAACTGCCGTCTGCTTGACTGGCACAAGGCGCCTCAGAGTTAAAATGTTCAGTTCCTCAGACTGAGCTCTACATTGCATACCAAATGTTTGAGTTTGCAACACTTCAAAGTGATGCTTCAAAACATTATAAAAAACTAAAACTGCTGACTGAATGTATGGCAATATATAGGAACACCTCCTGGTATCACAACAGTATGGGAAAGAGAACTTAGATCATTTACATTAGCGTATTAGCAGTACCAATACACTCCTTTAAATATACTCAATGACAGGTACCATTTCTGGATGGAAATATATACTTCAGTAGAAGTATAGAAGTATTTGGCAAAGTGTATTTAAAGTACCAGAGTATCAACATGTGTAATAACTGCTACACAAGAAGCTGTTACAACTGAGCAAATGGTTTACTGAATCACAGAATGACATAACATTTGAGTGCAGGCAAAATGTAAGCGAATCAACCTCTTATGAACTGCCTACATGCTGCTGGTTTATAAAGCACTGAATGGTTTAGGCCCAAAATACATTTCTGACCTCCTGCTAAATTATGAACCATCCAGATCTCTCAGGTCTTCAGGGACTGGTCAGCTTTCTGTCCCCAGAGTCAGAACTAAACATGGTAAAGCAGCGTTCAGTTATTATGCTCCAAACATCTGGAACAAACTCCCAGAAACCTGCAGGTCCGCTACAACTCTGACTACTTTTAAATCCAGGCTGAAGACTTTTCTTTTTGTCGCTGCTTTTAATTGAACTATTCATATCTTAGACTGCACTGTAACTTTGATCCATGTACTTTTTTCTTTTAATGTTTAATTGACTGCACTGTAACTTTTATCCATGTATTTTTTCTTTTAATGTTTATTTTATTAGCTTTTCTTTTTAATGACTGATTTTAAATGCCATTTTCTTAATCTCTTTCATTTCTTGTAAAGCACTTTGAATTGCCTTGTGTTGAAAAGTGCTATATAAATAAACTTGCCGTGCCTTGCCTTGCCTACATCTTCTGATAAACATGAATGCATCCTCACACAAATGTTCCCATAATTCACATCATAAATATGCATCCGTCATTGTTTTTACAAGTAGCTTAATAAGTGATGGTTTTGCACTAAAACGGAGCCCTGTTTCGAGTGTTTGGCTGTTTTTTCATTTAGTAATGTAGCAAAACATCTCCCCCAGAGAACCCACTAATTAATCAACAAACGAATGAGACTGCAGCATTAATATACAAGGAGCACATCACAGCCATGACTAATCAAAAAGGAATATGATTATACGGGAATTGGATTATAAGCCCAACCAACATTTTGATTGTTATAATGGCAATGCTGATATATATATAAAAAGGAGCTGTTGCAACAAATTCAAAAAATAGAAACATAGCACTTGTCAAATGAAGGTATTAAACCAACAAAGACAGATGGGTAGGATTTTGGATGATTGATCCCCACATGATGTGAGATCATATTCCACAGCCTGGCCATTAGTATTTGACTTCAAGTACTCACCACACCAGGAAAGATCTTGGTGAGGCGGTCCACAGCTGCAAGGGCTTTGGACTTCCCTCCTCCGAGACAGTCCTCAAACTCATAGAGCGGCTGCCGGACTGGATTGGAGTATGAAATATTCGCGTTGTCTACAAATGTGATGTGTCTCACTCCCCATCCCTGGAGAAAAAACATTCATATTTTAATCACATCATTTTGAACCTCTATTTATTGACACTTTGTTAGCAGCTTCAGTGACAATGAGCGGGAGGTTATGTTCTCAGTGTGCATTTAGAAATGAATGCTTCCATTCATTTTGGAATAATGAATAAATCAGTGTGCAGGTAGCACAGACTTAAATTATTCTAGCTTTCTGATTAAAATCACTCTCTATTGTTACAAGGTCTAGCCACCATATCAATTAAGTTGCACCAGGGTATTCATCATGTTCACATTGAGTGACAGAGGGTAATAATAAGTGCCCACAGAACAGAAGAGTGAGAGCACAAAAAGAAAAATGTCGCTTATTTTTCCGGTGCAGCCTTGAAAGCAATATATTATAGTTGTCTTTGTATTTTTGATAGTGGAGTCTATTAAAGTGACTTGGACTTGGTCGTATATCATCTGAAAATGTTGTTTTTTTAGTTAGGAATGTTTTGATCTTTAAAGAGATTTTGTTTTATTCCAACAAGTTAGGCTGCCACTTAAATCGTGTTCACTTTTACAGATTCTGGGAGAAATAAAAAAGTCTTTCAGAGTTAGTCATCCAATACAATCCTATTTAATTGGTTCAGGTCGAGCTAGCTCACTGAAAATAGACTCTGGAGGAGTTTTGTGGAGGGTAGAATATTCAAGCGACAAAACAATTCTGTAAAACTCCAATCTGCAGGTATAACCACAGACATTCATTTGCACCATTGCATTGATTCTGATGAGTATGTCACATAGAAAGCATAGCAAACACAGCTCTAGAAACACACAGTCAAATTCCTGCATGCTTGAATCCAAAAATCTATATATCTGAGTTTTATCCTCCCACTCTTACCATGAGAGCCCTGGCTACATTGCAGCCCAGAGTCCCGGCCCCCAGCAGGAGGCACTTTGTGGAGACCACCTTGTCCAGGTCCAGGGTAGGAACCAGCCTCCATCTCATCAGCTTCAGGTTCAGGTCCACTGAGGACTCTGCAAGCCTGGAGAGAGCCAAGGAAGACATTTGTTCACAAAGTAATGAGTGTCCATTTTGTTGCACCTTTCACACATTTTTTTGTTTGTAGTTATTACCTTTTAGGGTCCATGCATTCGCTGAGGTTGACCATCCTTGGACCCATGGCCCCCTTTGGGTTCTTCTCCCAACCTACGCTCTTGGGACACGCTGTGAAAACAGAACATTGATCAAGTTGATTAGGCATAACAATACCTATTACACAGTGAGAGTTGTGGAGACAGTTTTAAACAAAAGAAAAACCATAATCGCCCACATTACAAAATTGCTAAAATGTTTGTTTTCTTTTTCAAGTTTTGATGTGTGCAGCCCTGACATTTATGCCTGTGTTATCTGAAAACACTTAAAGAAAATGTCACGGCTGTGTGTCTTGTTATTCTGTCATCTTTGAAGATTATTTTTCAAGAAGGAAAAGTTCATTTAAAAAAAGTATTGACAGCATTTCAACAGTAAGAGGGCGGATGAGAATTGATTTCTCTCTACTGTGTGATTGTACAAATGAAATAGTGTTGAATTATACCATATGGGATTGTGAATGTAAATTAACTTGAAATGTATTTAATCTTGCCAAATAGTAAGCCACTTTTGGTCGTGGCAAGTACTGACCATGTTGTGTCTGAGGTATCCTTATTAAGCCATTTGGAAACAATACCAAATCTGTCCATGCACAATCAAACAATAAGGCTGAATCATTTTGTTGTAGGATGAATACGTCCTCAGTGAGTCAATTAAAGGCAACGCTGTGTTGAAGAGGTAGACCGAAGTATACAAAGACACGCCGTCTGATCTCAACAACCTCCACCCCCTTTGCTGCTATTACCATTTAAAATTACTTTCATGCCTTATTCACAGGATAAAGGAATAATAGAAAGGCTGTGTGAGATTAGTGTGGTTTCAAAAGGATGCAAAAAGTGTCAGTGCAAAATAAGCTATGAAGAACACAGAAGCATAGTATGGACGGATTAGGGCTGCACAATAATTAAACATTCATTGTGATCACGGCATTTGACAAGTATATTCATGTTATTGTGACAGTGAATTTAACATGCATGCTCTATCTATAGAAAACCTGCTGCATGTCAAATCAAGCGCTCCCTAAACTAACAGCCAGCCACCAGGGGGCGCTCGAGATGTTTTGGCTTTACTTTGGGGGACTTTGCCTAAGTCTGTACCCTACAGCAGCAGCCAGTGAAACATCCCTAAATGTGGCTACCATCCAGAGTGGAAGGGATACAAACAAAAAAGTGCAAACAGGCGGAAATGTAATTCCCTGAATCATATTCTTGATGTAAAGATGTGTTCATTAGATGAAATGTAGAGCAGTGTGAAATTGAAATCAGGGCTTTGTTTGATAAAAAGGATTTTTACCTGAAAATAAATGAGTAACTTTGGTAAATTAGGGTGATTATCTTCTTGGCAATAAACATTCATTGCTACGGATAAAACCACACAAACATTAAAGAAATACAATTACCTGAGTTGAGGGGAAACCCAGGTAGTTTTATCTGGAAGATGACACTGTGCTGAATGGAGCGGCTGCCCTGCAGAGTTCTGTCCCTGAAACACAGCACCTCCACTGTGTCCAGCTTAGAGCCCCTGAAAAACACACAAACAAACCAAAATAAGGGATATGCAAAAGTCAAACAACAAAAAAAACACAGCATGCACAAATTAGAATCTATAGTGTAAACAAGAAATGAGAAAAATCTCACAAAAACAACTTAATAACTGAATATGCTGTTTCCCCTTGCTAATGCAAGACACAACACTGATAACTGAGCACTCACACAAATATGATCAACACAAATCCACACAACACATTTCCCCTAATATGGTACTAAATGACCAGTCACATTACACAATCAGACTGCAGCGGAAAGACTGAATAAGCGAGACTTTGCGGCTACATCATAATTCTTTCTTCACCCACCTCAGCCAACATCAACAGTTTATGTTTAACACTGACAGAAAAAAGATTGATGAAGTTTTGTATTTGATCAAATCTGCAGCTCAATACTGAGCACAAGCGCTTATCTGTATTTGCTGCTGATAAGCTACTAGTAGCAAGGCATACTATTGCTAAACTGCTCCCAGTGGGAGTTCTTTGTTTAAATGTAAAATAATTATGCAATAAAAATATCACTAACAAAGCAACACAAGTGCCAGGAAAAAACAAACTCCCTAAGGAAAAAAATGATGTACATTTTTAAACTTCATTGAAATGGCAGTCATGAAATGTGAAGCGACTGATCATTTATTGTCAACCTCAGATGATGATGCTATATGATCAAGTAATGTAGACATATTTAAGATCAATCTGGAGATATATCTAGTTTGGTCTTGTTTAAGATTAGAAATACATCATAGTTATCACATTGTGACATACTCTTCTGTTGTATATCAATTGGACATTTAAAGAATGAACTTTTTTTTTGAAAATGTATTTAGTTGGTCCTTTACTTTTTGTCTGTCGGTGTGCATGTCTAACTCTGTAAAGCGCATTAAGATTGTTTTCCACTTATAAACCGGAAAAAATAAATGATATTAACCCAGGGTCTAGGAAAGAAACATGCTTAATAACAAAAAAGCACAGCACAGCATTTATTGGTAATAGAGGACACTAATATGAGATATAATTGATTTGTCATAGATGGCCATTAGAGAAGCCTTGACTACAGGCTTCTCTAATGGTACTAGAAAGCAGATATAATATGTTTTGCAACAACATAAGGAACTGTCTCAAATGATAATATGAGATGTGATGGGCAATAAACCCTTTAAGGAAAGCCTTGTATAAATCAACAATAAATTATATATGCAAGTAGGCCGCATCATTTGTTACAAACAGAATACCATGTTGGGTATTTTAGATGTCTAAGTGATCCCACCATTGGCGAACAGAACAATTTTACTTTCCTAATATTGCATCTGTCATGTTTTCAAATAGTTTCTTACAATCTCAGATGCAATTTGACCAATTTTCGATTTTTCTTTCATGCAGCCTTTAAACTATAGAATTACCTTGAGAAAACATTGCACAAAATAAACTCTAAAGTACGATATTAAAATGCCTGCATGACACCAACAGTGCATGCCATTTGGTTTAAATCATCTGTGTACACATTTTAAGAAATGCTCAGACATTTCTTTCTTAGATGTATTACTTAACATTTGATCCAAGCACTTGCACTCACTCATCCGTGGTGTGCTCACATTTCTTCTCTGTAAATACTTCAGTAAAAATATATTGCTTTGCAAAGCCCACACAAGCTTCCACATACCACCATCATGTGCACGACCACTTGAGTCTGTAAGCAACTGTAGTAATTTATGAGCTGTAACAGAATGCATTAAAATCTGTTACTCCTGTTCACAAAACAAGATGGCTCATGTGTGTTCAGCTGGAGTTGTACAAAATGCCCTCTCAGATTCCAGCTACTAGACCACTCCTGCTTTCAAAACAACAGTGGTTCAGACAGAAACATTTATAACAACTTCAGTTGATAGAAACAAATATTTTAGAAAATGTGTAGCATTAAGTGGCTAAATACTTTGTGAGTATCAGGAGTTTCAAGAATCCCAAAATGCATGGCCTTCCCATGCCATGCATTTTGCATGCTATGTTTGTGTGTTTCCACTAGGAAGCCTACAGTATGGTGTCCATTGACAGCAGCTGCTGTGTGCTACTGTAGGTGTCATAGATCGGTCTGGCATGTGTTAACAAGGCAGACATTTGATTAACTACTTGTTGCAATGATCACAAGCACAAAGCCTTGGTGACGTACATACATGTATGCGCCGTAATGTGCTATGTAGTTGTCCATCTTTGAGTAATATTCTTAATCTTTGGGTGGATAAAATAGTTTTTGTGAAATGTTTAACCTTGCCTTTAGACATGTCATGTTGAAATGTCTAAAGGCAAGGTTAAACATTTCACAAAATAATAGTCTGGAAAGAATTACTTTTGTTTTAAAACTATGACTTAGCAACATGTAAGATATTGCGCAAAATGGACCATCACAATCGTACAGCTTTGATTATTCTCATAAGTGTGAAACTCTAACAACAACACCGTTAGGAATAAGTGTGCCAGTGAAGCTGTTATTTTAGTTTTCTGTAATGATACAAAGCTATGCAAGTATCGCCATTCACTTTGGAAGATCACATCTTAAATCAGACCAGCTTACTACACTTGAGAGTCAGGAAATTAGTTAAGCAGGCATTTCCTGTCTTTCTGTGGCGTTGTGCCTAAATAAAATAGTCGATGTAATCAGAAAAACACTCAGTGAAATTCACAAACTCAGCATGTGTTTATAAAAAAAGAAAATCCTTTAGAGAACTTCCTCTTCTTTTACCAGCATAAAAAACACACACACAAGAAAGAAGGGAATTACCATTGGTAAGCTAAGAGGACCAGCAGATTTCTCAAAGGCCAGCCCGGATGTTGAGACAGAGTACACGGATCGTAGACGCCCACAGTAACCTAGAAAAAACAAACAAGGTGTGTTTACTTTACCAAATAGGGATTCTGTATGTCTGTGTGTGTGAGTGAGAGAGAGAGAGAGAGAGAGAGAGAGAGAGAGAGAGAGAGAGTGTTGTAAAAATACAGTCAAATAAAGTACTGTATAAAACAATCCAACAAAGCAGACATCTTTGAAAGCTGGGAAAAAATGTCCCTATATAAAAAAAATGATACTCTTGCATAAAATATTTATCCACAACACAAAATGAAGTAGTACCTTCTTAGTATCAGTGAAGAACGTGTCCCAGTCACTGAGTGCAGCCATCTGAACCGTGTCTTCTGTGTACTTCATTAGGAAGTAAGGCACTGCAGTGGTCTCTTTTTTGATACACATTGAGTCATAGGCATCCTGCAAGGCTGTGATCTGAGACAGAGCATAGGCAGTCAGCTAAAAGTATAAGATCGGTGCTGTACATGCAGTGTTTCCCCTACCATTGTCTTGGAGGGCGCTGCGCCCCGCCAACGGAGCCCCGCCAACGGAGCCCCGCCAACGGAGCCCCGCACCCCCCCTGAAATTCAAGGTGTTTAAAAAAAAATGTGTTACTGTCTACTGTCATTTTTCACATTGAACATGTGCTCTTTTATTAAATAAACTAAACGCTTTCATTTTAAGTTGTGAGTTTAGTGTTTTTGACCCTAAGAAACGCTGATGCATTAATCAATAACAATAATCCACAGCGCCTCTCTCTGCTCCAGAGGATTTTAAAAACATATATCCCAATGCCGCCACCCCCCCCGCTCAGGCAGCACCCCCCGAAAGCAGTAAACCTAGGGGAAACACTGACATGCATATAGAGAGAGAGCTTTTGAATGGCAATCATAATGCCTATCAAGACCACAGCTGCCCCCCAGCTCAGGGGTTAGACATGTATTGTCAGCCAAGCAGCAGGAACAGGTAGGAACTTATCTACGCTGAACCTGGCACTGCAGTCCCAAAATAATTATAATTTCCTAAAGCATACATTCTGACATATTTGACTGGTAATATAAAGTAAAGCATGGTTTAAAGGATATTATAGCTCTCATTACACGGCAGCCATGGCTTTGGTAAGAGTTTTAGTGAACACATACACTGTAACTGTTTGGTGTTTCTACCCATGTACTGTATACCAGACTCTTGCAGTTGGAGTCATGCTGTTCATGAGTCATTCTAAGACTTTCTTAATGAGGCTTTTCACTTCTTGGATCCACTGACCTGAGAAATAGCATTCATTTCACATCATTATACTATTCTATAACCCACACACTATTAGACAGACCAAGCAGATTTAAACAAGACTGTTAGGAGCTGCCTCCATTTCATTTTCTTAAGAAAGTTTTTTAGCAATAACGTGCGGTATTTGGTAAAAAAATTGGACAAGTGGAAATAATATTGGAATTTCAGGGCCAATACGTTTTTTTTTTGTATTCTATGGAAAACAGCCAACAGTATTAACTCCTAACTATACAGTAGTTCACACATTAGATCTATAATTTGTAAAGAGCATTAACATTTGTGCGTGTTGTGTCAAGAATTTTTTTTTTTTTAAATATTTTACAATTTCAGAAAAGAGGAAGATAAAATACGAGATAATGTTCATTCCCGTTATTGTATAACGATCTTTAAAAAAGGCCAACCTGTTTTGCTGAGAAAACTTGTTCTAGGGCAGCGGGCTGTTTCACAATCTTTATTCCCTCTGGGAAACAAAGAGCAGGGAAGCAGAACCAGTAGTAGAAGTGGTACTTCTTCAAATCCTGGAGGGAAAAAAAAGAAATAAAAAAAATGGCTAAAAGAGTCAAACACAAAGTAATTAATATATAAAACAAAACATGTATAAGATGCTGTTTATACTAACTGCAAAGGTCAGCAGGATGAATTTGCAGAGGATGGACGGGTCCTTCAATGCAGCCCCGGACTGTATAGCATCCCATATCTACAAAGCAAAAGGAAGTAAACAAATGCACAACTTAGTGATTTAGTCTTTATTTTACCAAAATTCCTTAACAGATGTTGGTATGCGAATGTCTGGGTGAAAATCCCAATGTTTTTCTTTTACCTCCTTGGCCTCTTTCTCCAGCAGAGCCTTCTTATCGGAGGTCTTAAAGGCATCAAGTGTGTTGGTGTTATACAGCGTTCCAACAGTTGGACAGCAACGGGATGGTGTGGGACCGTCCCTGACAGGAAAACACATCAGAATATTTGCATTCAATTGTTAGTACTAACTGTACAAGTTTGTTTTGACATGCTACATATAGCTTAATTTAAGGTTTTCAATTAACAGGAAGGGGAGAGCTGTTCCAAATAGATTTGGACCCAAAATGTAGACCAATTCATAATTCTGTACCAATAAAAACATTACTCAACTTTTATGAAAGCTAAAAAGATTGAGTAATATTAGATTGAATCATTTGACCTAAATTCAATTTTGACTTGAAACGATGAAGGCAAACGTGTCTTTATTTCTGAACCATTGCAGAGTTAAAAATGATATATGAAAGAGAAACCATTCATAGCTTAAATAACTTGTTGTCAACTCAATTCAAATAGGCATCAGTCAATTTGAGAGTGGTAGCAGGTTCCAAATTGTGTTTAAAACTTTTATTTTTTTATTACTTTTACTTACATTTGAAACATTCATTAAACTTAGGGTTAGGATACAGCTTACATGGTTTATACGCACTATACTTCATCATACTTACACTTCAAATGCACTGAACTCCAATGTCAGGCGAGTGGGCAAACCAAGTGGGTCACCTATATGACAGAAATGTGAATAAATTAGTCATCCATTTTTCAAAGTTGTTATTTAAAATTCACTAATCCAGGTTACGAAATTCCTCCGGAACTGTTTAAATTGTCAAAGTAAAACAACAGCCAGATAAAAGTCATCGAAAACTGATCTGATTAATCACCATTGTAGTAATATCCTTTGATACACTTGGGGCTTTCGTCCAATCTGTAGTCGTTGAGTTTCTTCTGAGTCAGCTGGTGCCAGAAGCCGGCCTCCAGAGCGCTGCTGAAGGGAGCAAACTGCAGCTTGAGGTCTGGAGTGGAGGACGCTGCTTCACTGGTGTCAGATGCCATCACTTCAATAACAGTTTGAGCAGCCAAGTACGACAATCTGTGAAATTAAACAGTCTTCGGTTACAAAATAGTTGCAGGCTCTATAAGCTGTTGTGACCTCAACAAACTTTCAGAACGGTTGCATTTCCCTCTGATGATTAAACTAACGGGCTTAACACATGCACAAAACAAGAACATATTATAATCCTGACCTCTGATAGTGCAGTTTTAATATACAACCCAGTGAAGTAAACCGCAAATGTATTCACTTGTGTAGATAAAATGGTGAGCTAATTAAGTCAATTCAGCAAACAGTCTATTGGTATAGCACTGAAAAAAATAATATATGTCTCAACCAGTGCATTGGTTTTAAGAAAGGTTGGCTTTTGTTATGCCATGCATCTCTTACTATTGATTACAAAACGCTATATATATATAATATATATAAATGCTTAAATCAATCACAACAGGACAAGGATGCATAAGGATGTAGGGTGACATACATTGTAATGCCTTTGTAGGTGAATGTGTGATTTTGAACTTCGCATGTAAAGCTAACTCGATTTGACAGTTATATTATAACCCTAAACATAGCTATTGTCAAACTGTAGCAGCTGGCATTATTGATTGCAATCTACTGCCAGCACATTAAAATAATCTTCTCTTGAGAAACAAATTATATATTTGTAGTTTTACACAGTTTGTAACAGACCCCAGTGAAAGCAGAAGATGGGATAACTTAAACTGCTCTAACGGGTTTTTTGTTTTGTTGTACACACGACGATTATCTATGAAGACACGAATCACAATGCGAAATACCTGTAACTCAAACCAGATGCATTGGCTTACATGAATTCATCTATGAAACTATAACTAGCTGAGGTGTGTGCACTTACCAGAAATCCTTACTTCCTGGTGAAGGTGATCATGTGATCGCGGGACTTGTCAACAGAGCTGTGCATTGTGGGTAAGTAGCCTCACAGTGTAGCATATGCTAACGTCAGTGTGTGTACCTCTTGAGTCTTTCTTATGGTGCAAGAGTAATTGAGTAAAATATAAAAAACCAAAATAGAAACATAAACAGCAGCACGACGAAAAACGACAATACGGACAAAACCTTATACGCGCCGTTTCTTTTCATGTCGGACTGAACAGATGTATTCGTGAGGTTAGGGTGTGAGCATAGACTGGGTGCGAGCCACGGGAGGAAAGTGTCTCAGGCGTTACACCAGTACAACCGGTTTAAAAAAGTCACAAACGAAACGGTAATGTATTCTTAAAGAAATAAGTGCAGATGCCAAACATGTTGTTAAATCAGCTAATAGTTACTAGCTCATTTTACTTGAGAATAGCCACCGGTAAAAGGCTTCACCTGGACCCCGGACTATGAGACATTAGGGGCCGTCTCCAAACTACACAGTTGCACAAAAACGCACTATTCTAGTTTTAGTTGTTGTAGTTCTTCTTCTCTGGGTTATAAAGGCGTCCTGCAAAATGCTGCATTACTGCCAACTACTGGATTACAACTATAATCTCCAGCACAATTAAATATTAATAACTGAACTCATGAATGCCCCTTCTCTCTCAGCTGCTGCTCACCTATCCTGGTAACACCTACACCACTTGAAAATATCCTTTCTGCATCTAGACTTGCGTACATTTTCTCAGACTTTATGTTATACTATCAGTCACGTTATGACTATTGCCAGTAAAAGCCAACAACATCACCTGATCCTTAAAAAAATCTAACCTCCTCATGCTTCCTATCCAATCCAGGTTATCGCTGTCCCCCTTACTCTCTTTTGACAGTTGGCCTCCCATTTTGAGGTTCATTAATGCAATACGGTAGCATAGCAAGACTCCTATTATAAAACAAATAACAATGTGTAAAACAAATACACATACAGCCCCCTTTGATACCAGATTGCTATTGTCTCTCCTTGATCCCACACCGTCATCCTCCCTCAGAATCGTAAATGTCTAAACACTGGTCTCAACTCCTTATTAAACAATCTCCACCTTCCAGTAATCTTAAATCAAAGCATCCAGAACTCAGCCACATCTCAAATGATCACATCCAATCTCAATCTTATAATCTATGTACATTTTCTTTCCCACCATGATGGACTGCTTTTTCAAAGCCTTTAATGTGCACATTCAGTTTGGTTGTTTTAAGTTCAGTGACATTGTGTGAGCTGTATTAGGTTGAATGTAACCATGATCTAACAGTGAAGTAGACTGGGAGCTGCTGGTCGAGGCAGAAAATGATGTCGGTCCCATCTGGTCCAGTTTAGTTGTCACTACACTGGTGAAATGTATCAAGCACTGTACTTAAGTACTTATTTGATATACTAGTTATTGCTACAAAACACAAATAAAGTTCAAAGTTGTACTGAGTGTTTTGTTTAATGTGACTACTTCTACTCAACAACATTTCAGAGGGAGATATTGCACTTTTTTTACAACATTTATTTGAAAGCTAATACTTATATATAATATATAAACACTTGAAAATGAGGGTTTGTAATAATTACAATTATTTGACTATGAGTTGGTTGACAATCATTTCAGTCAGTATTCCTTTAAAAAATGTAACAGCATCTCAAAGATGAGGGTTTTCTCCTTTAAGTACTTTTGACTTTAATACTTTAACTATATTTTCCTGATGTTTGCATATTTGTACTATTTTCAAATAAAAATGTAACTGTACAATTGTAATATAGTATTTTCACATTATGGTACAAGTATTTTTACGTAAGTAAAATATGAATATTTATTCCCTGTATATTTATCAAAGACATCTGAGTAAAATAAAGAAACATACTTATAATTCAATTAATGTTATGATCAATTTCTGTAGATAATTTGGAATTTGTCATATACATATCCAAAAATATATGGTATCTTCTTTTCTCCCGTTGCTCATATGATAAAGTTGATTGTCAGTCTCTCCTTCACACTTACCTTTGTGATTGCTCTTCATTTCACTTACAGTAGAAAAGCCACTTTTTCATATTGAATGATTTAATTTAAGTACACACTTGCACAAGTCACAGATACATGTTTTCCTGCAGAAGTTAAAGGGGAGGTAGGAAGGGCTTTTTAATTTGGTGGTGAAATCAGCTGCAATCTACTCCTGCTATTACATATCACATAAAATAAACATTTATTCCACAAATCCTGTGGAATCAAGCAACTGTACTCAAGATAAATAAACACCTTATAAACCCATACCCACTACAATACAGGGGTAAATATTTACTATGATGCATTTTAAAAATGGCCATCTCTATAACAAGTGTTATAAATGTAACGTCTTTAACACCCTCAATGTGGCACACTGGACCCTCTGCACCTTTGTTTTTTGGCAGACAATAAACTGTAAATCCCCCTCCATAGATCAGACACAAAATAAAACGTAACACATTTCTTCCTGTTAGGAAAAGGTGCAAAGGTCCTTCCTTATGTTTCCTTTTCAAATAAATGAAGGAGGACACTGAAGGTGATCATTTAATTTCTCATTAATCATAGCTTGGCAGGCTTTCTTGGAATAACAGCAACAGAAGAAAAGCACCTATGCTCTGCACTAATATACTAGAAGATTTGGTATGATGTAATAACTTTTATTTTAACGCCAGCCTGTGCCTCTAAGCACTCAAATGAAGGAAGATCTAAAGATATGTCATCCATATGCCCAGTGCTATTACACTTGTAGGCTTGACATGCCCCCCAAATCAAGCTTTCTACTTGTAAGAATGAAAAAGGTTTTTGTACAACTGAACAAACAGCCCATATTTTACATTACCATTCACCTTTCTACATCTTTTCTTACCATTAGTGTTGGTTTTGGCAAATCTTAAAGTGCTTGCTATGTTTGCACAATTCAATCAATGCTTAGCCATTTTTGCAACCTACAGTGTAGTATCTATCAGGGTAGCGCCCACGCCCAGCCAGTCATCACCGTTACCCCCATTATTGAAACAAGGGCACAGCCGGTGCAGAGTGATTTCACTGCAGATCGAATGAAGGCTGCCTAAGGAATATAAAGGTGTATGTATTCGAGGATGGATTACCAACTGGACAATGCAGGCGACTTCCCCTTACCTCCAGCATTTTAACAAAATGATATGTCCCATTTTGAAGGTGCAACATTTTATATTGCACTCACATGGATCATATTCCTAAATTAAGGTATGTTTAATCAAAGCATTGACTTGTTGACATGAACAAAACCTAAGGCCAGTTAGATAATGTTTTTTTTGCGTCATAAAGCAACAACAACAAAAAACAATGAAGCTGTGCTCTATAGTCTGAAATGGATGGTAACTGCTGCAGCAGGGACCCCAAGACCCCCAGAAAAATTAATAGTGCAATGTTTGTCACCTTCATATATTCAGTGTACATCATTCAATATTCAAAACACAGCACAAGACTTAAGTATTGCCCCAATTTAAATTGTAGCTTTTGTAAGTGACTGCTATCCTTCAAATGCCTTGGTAGTCATAACAAGGAGGGTTATGAAAAGAGAATGTGATTATTATAAACTACAGACAAGACATTTTCACTATTTTGCCAGGAATGAAACTCTGTGGGAACGGAATAGCAGCTGGAATTTATCGTGACAAGTCTTCAAATGGAAAAACCATTCTTGCAGAAATGCCCATAATATTGTACATCATAACATTCAGCAGCCTCATGTTGAGAGCACTGTGGGACTGGGACAGGATATGCAGTTGAGCTATCTTAGAAGAATATGTGAGAAGTTATTTTGTAATAGTAGAATTTCACAACTAATGTTAGAATAGATAGAGATAAAGTTAGTGGCTCCATCTTGTTGATATAGATGTATGGGAAAGATGACAGATTGCAATCGCACTTCTTCCAGCTCAGTTCCACCCCCCTCTGATTTGTTTGATTTTGCTTAGTAGTGACTCACAACCCATCTGTGTTCACTGAATATGGTGATATATATTTTTTTCTCTTGATCTAGATTTTCTTGGAGTTGCATGTTAACGTATTACAGCCTTATTTTGATTCACACAAGTTGAAATACAGAGTGTGCCTCTCATGGTAGACAATCTGAAAACATTGATTTAACATTATGGGAGTGGTAACATGTTTGTGTAGCATCATTAGATTTTGTATTCACAACAAGATTGCAGGCATAGCCTTTTCTAATGCCTGACATAATTGTGGTGTAAAGCTTGAATCAATACAAATGCAATATCTGAGACTTACATTTATGGTGGCTTTTCCTCAGCATTGTGGAATGACATGAGGTGTTCTTTGGCTAATGACATGAAAAGAGCGGCTGAATCACATCATCAAGTAGACGCGTGTAAAAAGGTTAGCAATTAGTTGAAAAGGCCTGTTTGTTCCTCTTTGGTAAGAGTGGTTTTTGTTGACTGTGAAAATGTTCTGTATGACGAACCCACTATTAAGCCAGTATGAGTATAAATAGTGTATACTGTAAATGCAAATATACATCTCAAGTTAACGCTTTGGCATTCAGTCTCATTTGACTCAAAAATAGTAAAGAGTTGACAAAGCACAGACAAAATAAAACAAGACCAGAAGATTTTAACAGATTATCATGAACATCGTTATTTTAATGTGTGAAAACACAATGAAATCTTTTTTAGGTTTAATAAAAAAGGGTAAAATAAAGACTCAACTGAGAAGATCCCAAATCAACCTCCCTGCTAACAGCTCAACAGATGATTTGAAAGGAAATTAATGTTCCAAATCCTTTTTTAATGATGAGGAAACAGTGTAAAAACTGCTCACAAATGCATGTTTGTAAAATGTTAAATATAGAATGTATAATGTTACATCTCTGTACCATTTATAGTGCATACAAATAAATAAAATGTTTTTCTTCAAAAATGCATTTTTGTACACAGTTTTCCTCCGCTCTGGACCACAGAGCAAACACACTAGATTCACATTCCTTTTCACCAAGGGTGAGAGATCAGATTATTTTGATATTTAGCATTTCTGGTCTTAGACATGCTTTGTTATCATAAGCACAACATAGACAAAATAAATAACATTAACGTTAGACATCTCCCCGAGCTGTTGCCATGGGTTGGAATTGAAGGGGAATAAAGTTGTAAAAAATAAGATTCACAACAAACAAAAATAACTGAAAAATACATTGTTTTCATCTGCACTTACAAAGCTCATGTATCCATGGGTGATTACTACATTGAATTGATGCAACAGATGTTTTCTCTATACTGTATCTGTGTATATCAGCAGCACATTGACCCCCATGATTCTATTCTACTTCTTCATTATGTAACTATCAGTCACAATCAAATATTGAGAATACTTTTGAAGACTCGCTTGAAGTTCCCATTGCACAGTGGGTATATAAAAGGGTTGAGAGTGGAGTTGATGTAACCTAGCCATATTGTGAACATGTGAAGGTCATGGTGCACACACTCTCTGCAGAACGCCATGACCATGAAAGCTATGAAGTATGGTATCCAACACAACAAGAAAGCAGCAATTATAAAGCCCAATTGCTTGGCTGCCTTGTGCTCCTTGTGGATCCTCAGGCTTTGGATACGCTGACGTGATTGGTCAATAAACCTTTGCCACGTCTGTCTCAGAGTCACTGCATTTGCTGATTCCAATGTGGCATCTTCAGCCTCTTCTTTGGTCCAGGGCAGAGTGTGATTGGGGTCGTAGTTGTTGTAGAGACCAGAGGTGTATCTTTGCACATCTGAAACCTGGTTGATATCACAGACACCACTCACTGACTTTGTCACTGTCACGTGACATTCATTTAAAGACGCTTGAATTTTGTTCTCATTATTCCCCTCTGGGCAGTTAATGTCCTGTGGCACTGCAGGTTGATTCAGAGGAATCTCAGTGTCTGACTGCTTCTCCTCAGGAGACAACGAGCAACCTTTGACCTTTTTTCCCATTCTGAATCGTTTGGTTGTCATGGCTAGCAACGACGTATGCTGGCACTTGACACCAATTTTTCTGTGTGCTCTGGATAAAGATATTTTAGTTCTTTCGAGATCTTCGAGGGAATATGGCTGATCTAGAGTGTTCTGGTCCAACAAGCGATGTTTTTTAGAGAGTTTCATTGGAACGTTACATTCCCTCTTTGGTAATTCGAGGTCATTTTTTACTGGCGTCTGGGCATTTTGTCCATTCTCATTTTCCCCAAACGAGTCAGTCGGATTAATGATTCTCTCTCTGTCTCTGAGATGTTGCCGTACTGCCAAGTAAATGTGCGTGTAAAACCACAACATCAAAATTGATGGTACGTAGAAGTTAAAGACGGCAGTTACAACCTTAAACCACGTGACAAAGCGGAAGTCAGTGTCACACTTGTTCTCCTCCTCAGGTTTAAGGTCTACATGACTGAAAGACCTCCATCCTAAAATTGGAATAATCCACATCATGGACAGCAACCACGCTCCAGAAATCATCACAGTGGCTTTGCCTCGCGTTCGATATTTCAGGTACTTAAGCGGCTGTCTTACAGAGCGGTACCGATCCAAACACAGAATAAACAAGCTGAAAATTGATGCTGTGCTAGCCACATAGTCCATAATAAGCCAAAATTGGCAGACTGCCCGCCCCAACTTCCATTCATCCTCCAACAAATACACAAGGTTTAGAGGCATGACTGTGGTCCCTACGATCAGATCTGCCACAGAAAGGCTGACAATGTAGAGGTTCCCGACAGTGTGGAGGCTCTTCTCTTTCTTCACTGCGTAGAGGACGAGCAAGTTCATCAAGATGGTGAGGAGGGAAAGAAACCCCAGGCTGACCCCCAGCAAGGCATTATGAAAGCGGCCATGGAGGGTCAGGGTGTGATTGCTCCTCAGATCCTCTGCATCGAGGAGGCCACTCCAGCTGCTGTTGCTGTTATTGACATATCTTAGTGTGTTAGGGTGGAGAGGGTCTGTGGAAGGGGACAGACCGGACTCCATCATGGTAGGTGAGACTGTCACCTATAGATCCAGTCATATCCTGTATAATCGTAGAAGAGTGTGTTTTAAACCGTCCACCAAAACATACTCATGTCTCAGTTTGGATCATTCACTGACAGCCTCACTACCAGTTCATATGTTTGGTCAAAGGAGGGATATCATCCAGTTTAAGGCGTTAATCATTGTGGTCTTGATCTGTAGTTCATTCCAAATTGCACCTGGAAAACATAAAGCAAAGAACATTCAAATGTGTCATATATATTTGTCTTCCTACTGAAAATTAAAGTCCCTATTCACACAAAATGTAAAGGTACAGTTGCTGTTATGTTCAAAACACACATTCATTTTAGCCAGTCTCATGATGTCTGCCTCAATAGACCGGTTTACTGTCTTAGCTTCACAGTTTGTGGGCTGGTAGGTATAACAGTGTTGGTACTGTAGGTACAGTACGCACTCCAGATACCCCTTTGTCTCACATCATATCTATTAACATAAAGTTTAAGATTGTATAAGACATGCAAATGTGAGCATGATTTTGGAATAAATAACTGTGTTTGGAGGCCAATCATAGTCTAATATACAACTTATTAAAGTGTGATGTGCAAACTGGAAATTCCCATTGCTCACACATTTGGAAGTGTTGACATCTTGTGTCATCTTGTGTCAAGCAGGTAAAGATTTGAAATGAAAAATATGTGTGCATTAATAGGTTCTGAACATTTCAGCGAGGTAGACAGAGTAGATGTTATTGTAATAGTGGAAGAAATATTAAAGTACCAACACATTAATGTATTCAATATACTGCCTAAGTAAAAGCATTATCAGCCAAATGTATGAAACGAGACAGAGACAATCTGGGTAATTTGCGCCTATAATAACTTATCTCAAATTAATAAATGTTAAAAATACAGCTTGTCACATCCTGTTAACCTATTCCCTTTGTTGGTATGTACAGTATTTATTGGCCCCAATATCTCTTGCTCTTGCTCTTTCTCTTTCGCTGTCCAGCTGGCTTTCTTTAACACTCACACAAAGGGGAGGATGGCAGAGCGCATAAGCGACACAGCAGACACACTGTCTGTTTGGAGGAAAGGAGGCAATAACCACATTTGATAACATATTTAAATCTGTAAAGCACAGCAGAAAGTCTCATTTTAGAACATATCAATAAGCTACCTTTAGCTGATCAATCATCTCAACTTTTGGGGTATTGATTTAAAAAGAGTGAAATAAGCCTGTTGCCATGGAGGCAGCTGGGTTTTTTTCTATAGACTCTTCACTTTATGATAATCGTTGCCTTAAAATACGTCATTTGGTCTCTTAAGGACACTAACTCAAACCTAAGTATGAAACATGACCAACAAAGACAAAAAATGTCTGATTTTTGAAGAACACCAGCATCCTCTCATATTGAATTCTGACAACAACAACAAACTCACGTCACGGTAGACAGCAAAAGCCATCCTGCAGAATGGATAAATAAATGAAAAATACAGATTATGGACATGTAGGTTTGGCATGTCATGAATAAGCAAATGTACTGAAATGTAAATATCTAATCAAAATCTTGATAATTCAAGGAGGGGAACGGAGGAAGGAAACACCTTCCTTATTGATTAGAACAGAACTCCAACGAAAAATTAAAACCCCATTCTCTACTTCATCACTATTTATCCAGAGGATATGAATTTTCTTGTGTGCCTGCTTACTCACAGATGACTCATAAAAAACAGAAAGTGTTGAGTTCTTAGTCTGAAAAAACACCTCCCATCCAAGGTTTTTTTTTATTAGAGCATCCTCAGAGTATGACTCACTCTAACTGTCATCATTGATATTAAAATGAGTATTAACATTTCCTTGCTCCCATCAATCCCCTGTGTTTACATCTTGTGGCTCCACGAAATTCAATAATTACATGTAACTAAGCCAGGGAGACTGATCATAATGGAGGCAGTTAACAAACTATGGCACTATCCTGTGGATGTTGATGAATGTTGAGTAGCCTTACAGATGTAATTAAATCAGGTAGAGACACTGATATATTCCAACACTCAAAGCTTTAGAGTGGTGATAAAGAAGTTGTTATGCCACATTTGAACCAATTACCGTGAAGGCACAACTGAAACTCCTGTACATACGGTATTATACATTTATGCATAATATTTTAAGCATATACTAGAAATGTGTGTGAAATGAATCCACCCAAGAAGTAGAAACGTTATTTATCATTAGCTTGGATGAATCTCTTTGTCGTTGAATATGGATCTGAGCTGAAATGTGTGATTGGAAACATATTCTCTCACTGGTTTCATATCCTCTGAAATGTACACTATAACTGTCTCCGCAACACTAACATTTATGGAATATATTAGCCTACTCACGGAATACTGTTGCGTGTTTTCCCTGCATTTGAGCAGAACACCTCTCCTTATCGCACCAGAATAGGACAGGCTATTTATCCAACGCTAATTGTTCAATATAATTATCTGTAATGACCCTTGCCTCCCTGATTTCATTGCTAAAGAGCGGGAACACACATTCATATTATGAAACCTGGAGCCGCTTTATCACAATGAATAATGGAATTAAACCAACCAACCTGTTGAGCCGCGGGCTGCCGAAAAACTTTAGGCTTTCAGCTCAATCGACAAACACGTCCATATCTTGTTACAATGCTGATAATGAAATGTTTTTTTCAGTTAACTTACTATTGTGAAAAATCCAAAACTGTAAGTTAATGCTTCTGGCCAGCGAAGGTAGACTATTTCTAGACTTACCAATCATGCATGAATTTCCAGGAAAGTCAGTGTTATTCCAGCTTGTATTCCGGGTGAAAAACAGAAAACGAGTGAGACTTTCCCTCTTTTTTTTTCTCTCTCTCTCTCTCCTCTCTCTCTCTCTCTCTCTCTCTCTCTCCTCCTCTTCCTCTCTCTCTCTCTCCTCTCTCTCTCCTCTCTCTCTTCTCCTCTCTCTCTCTCTCCTCTCCTCTCTCCCTCCTCTCTCACAGACTTTGGAGTCCACATGATATCCTGGTAAACACTGCAGCCATAAAAAATAACTTATCACTAAAATGGGTTTTTACCTTATGACGTTATGCTTCCTCTGTCTGTGTATGATTCACTGGACAGATACACCCAGACTGTGAGCTGCGGTTGTAACTTCCCTTGTTCATGAACCATAGTGTTATCTACATTACTTATGTGTAAGGTACAAGTCAGTGGGATGAATTGCTCACTCATTCTTCCTTACATACCTGTATCTTACTGTTTGGAAGCGTGCTCTTCATCCTTAATACAACTATAAATGCAATAGTCTTATTAAAAAACTATTCAATACATATTATTAAGAAGCCTTGTAAGATTGAGCATATACATTTTTGAAATATGTATTTTTTTAAATGTCATGCTATGAAAGTAATCATTTGATATCCTTTTTTTTATAACATTATGGGAATATTCATAGAGCTAAAACAAATCCACTTTCACACTGGGTACAGAGGTCTTATTTAAAGACATTAGTGTGACCATGATTTAAGAGATGTTTGTGGGTTTGGCATACATAAAGCTTAAAAGGGGATTAAAAGATATGTATTTCCATTGTTGGGGTGTAATCATTGATCAAGGCTAACATTCATTTTAGAATCTGTATTTTACGTTTGGTTTATAAAATAATGAGGAACCTCAGCACTCAGTGTGCCCAGCAGTGGCCTTCTTGATGTTTATCCAATAATAATTTCAAAACACACTGCTGTAAATGTCATCAAGTTTACCCAGCAAGCCTAATATTAAAGCATGACGTGATTTGGGGTTGTGCATTTTGCATTTTATTTTATTGGATTCCTCACCTGAAGAGCCACGGTCTTTATATGGCTCAGCAGTTGTCTTATTTCCTCCCAAGTCAAATGTGTCTCACCCTCTCTCCAGTTTATAGGCATATTGTATTTTTATATTCATTTCAAGAGCACTTTACCTGAGGAGGAAAAGTATTCCACTGCACTTCATGTTCAGTATATGACAAATAAAAACCTTGAAACCCAATGATGCAGAGCAGCAAGTCGCCTGAGTGCAGCTGTAATCCGTCACAATTCTGTCTCAGCCTATTAGTTGGAGACCAGACTTAAAGTGCACCTATCATGCTATTTTTAGGCAATAGCATAGGTCTCAGATATATACAAATATATAAAAAACATGTCTATGAAGTGTTTTGCTCAAAATACCAAACAGATCCCCCATTCTAGCCATGCCTCATATCCCTCTATTTCACTTCCTGTTTCAAAAGTGCTGATTTGGGGTATAAAGCTTTAAAAAAAAAAAGAAAAGGAAATTGATAAAAAAAAGCTTTCTCTCTTGCCGGTTATACCACAAGTGAGTTCCTTTTTATATCCAGCTTCTTCACACACATGCTCTCCAGTACAGGTTAGCTCTGAGTGTTAGCGATGCTAATGTAAACACCGACCATATTACGTCCAAAAAAGTCAGGGCATTTCCAATATTACGTCATATCGGACGCAAATCTGGATCAGCTCCGTTGTACCCCCGTTTTTAGAGATTTGTTTACGGAGGAAAAGAGAGAGGGTTTTATTTTATGACGCTGCGTGAGTTCCCTGACACACCGGGGACACATATTTATATAAAATACATCAAAAAGTGCATTTTGCATGATAGGTCCCCTTTAATATTTTCATTATCCTGATATAACAAATGACTTCTTTGCCTGATGGTGTCAAATGTGTAAAACCCTGTGGAAGAAAATATATAAGACTTTCAAACAAGGGAAAACAATGTTGACATTATGTGTACAATTGAGCACAGTATGTTTTTATACTGTATTTTTTTTCTTCCCCTGACTGAATTAAATGTTAAATTGTAAACTTTGATCAAATTGTGCATGCTGTTGTTTGTTTAGCCAAATATTTAGCAACCGGCCGTTTTTGCTATGCATAATGTTCTTTGAGGTTCCAAATGAACTTCTGTTGTTGTGTAATGTGATTGTACAACAAAATAATATAATGTGATTATATTATGTCACATCTGCTTGCGCTTATTGTCTGCTCAGCATTGTTTTGATTCAATTCCTTGCATTGTACATGCCTTAATTTGCATGTCGCTTGCCTCAAACCTCTATGCTTTCTATCTCCTTCAACATGCTACTTGGCTGCACTCTGTTGTTCTAATGTTACATGTTGTTTGCTTTATTTGTTGTTCGATTTGCAATGTACTCTGATCAGGAGGCAACATTTGCAAATGAGCCTTTTGGCTATCACATGCTCATTTATGAAATAAATCAAATATACACTAGTATTTAGGACAAATTACCCTTTCAGAAGTCCTAAGTTTAATGACCATAGCTAACACCAAACATGAGCAGCTGAGAGTCGGCTTCAGACCCCTTCCAGTCACTTTTAATTGCATAAAAGTGTCTTGCAGCTGCTGTAGATGGCTGCATTGATAACTAGAACATGGAAGTGTAGCTATTATTTGACTAAACACTGCAGATAACTGGTAAAAAATACTTTTATGTATCATTTTAATCGTCAAGGAGTCGTAACAATATTATTTACATTAATATAGGTAATCTATATTAATAGCTCGGGTCAGAAGAATTTCATTGCAATTTATACACTGTAGCTTATAAAACCTCTGAATCTTGAATCTATATGAATAGCTCCACGCACTTGCACAATTATTTTTGAATTACTGTGGAGATGGATATAGTGTTGCTAACATTCCTGTTCAAACCCTACTGAAGAAAACGGAGGGGGAAGAGGTGAAAAAGAAAGGGAGGAAGGAAGAAAGGGAGGGAGGGAGTGTGTAGTTAAAGGGAGAAATGGAAGATTAGATAAAAAGGAAGGAAGGTTTCAAGAAAGGGACTAGTGTCTGTGTGTTTGTGTCTTTATTGAGGAGAGGATAAGGCGAGAAGGAAACAGTTACCAAAATAGAAAAAATGTGTCACTAAAGGAACAGAGGATGGTGACAGAAGTGTCCTTATGACTGCTGGATGCCCTTTGAGAAAACCTTCATTTTGACAAACACCATCAAGTCGAGTAGAGCTGCTCTGTGCCAAAGAGCTTGAATGGATTCATGAAAACAGGAAGCCAACCGGTGCTGACAAACTGCCTGAGGGTTTTAAGATTAAAACTTGGTTAGATTGGACAAGGACATCATCAAGGGTTGATAGGTTAATTGAGCAGCAAGGGATTTCATATGGGTTGATCAATATGTATAATCTATAATTCATACAAAACTTGGAGTAAAATGTAAAACCCTGATCCAAACTGCACACAAATGTGACTGATATGAATGTGCAGTATAGTGACAAGATTTATTCTATTCATGCTCAAAAGCTTTGTGAGTAATTTGATTTATTTTGTGTTTATTTTGTGCTCACTTGATTGTAGTGCCTGTGAATACACGCATTGACGTGAGGATGTGTGTGAATGAGTCACAGGTCTTCCTAATTTGATTAGGGCCAGTCTGTACTATTGGAGCCCATAATAGCCCGTAATTACAGAGTGGAAGAAAAAAAACAGACCAGTTACAGCGCATTGTTGTGTGGGTTAATTTTATCTTTCAAATTAAGCCAGATGCTTCTAATGGAAGTAAATGACTGCCCACAGTCATCAGTGTTATTATTTTGTGCCTGATTTTCAAAAATAATTTGCCAAAACTCAATATCTATGTGCCTCTAACACCGCAGCTATTGGGATTGGACCATAAACATTTTCTGTGAGCATTAACATGCTTTAAGTGTTTGTTTTTCTATGAGAGAAAAAATATATTATCCAATTTCTCTTCTCCTCCTTTCCATTGCAAGGCTTGCAACATGGCAGACCGTGTTTGTGTATTGTAGGCCAACAGGGACATCTGCTGGTCAGGTTTATTTCTGCTGAGATACTCCATGAAAGAGGTCTGGCAGTGTATGTGTGCTATATGTGGGTCATTTACAAGCTAACAAAACAAATAAAAGCTCTCTTTAGTCCTTTGAATCAGCGTAACCTTCAGTAAAGCCTTCGATATCTCAAGACCAGTCATATAATCTCCAGTATTAAACGCACTGGCCAGTAGATCAGAGTCTCTTGTACATAAATGGAGGAGAAAATCTCCGGCTAATCTCCCTTCACAAGTGGGATTTACTCACTGTTAGCACTGAGAGTTGACTCAGTTACCCTTTGTAAACAAACCCCTCAAATGTCAAATGTTAACTGTGAACAGAAAAAGGAGGCTTTATAACAACTCAAGACTGCCAATCAATACATTTATTTCGTCCTCCTTTCCCCATCCTTTACTCCTCCTCATATGTTCTTCCCTCTGGCTCTCTGTTCTTCTCTCTTTTCTCCTGCCAATTTTGACACCACCTTAACTTTTTCTCTGCAGCTGCTCCTTCTCGTCCAATTCTGTCACTTTGTTTATGGTGTTTTTGCAAATTCCTTATGAGACTCTTAATTTCTTTATTTTTTAACATTGACACAGCAAAGTGAGTTGGTAGTATAATGGATTTCGATTTTTACTATATATATCAGATATTTTTTGCTAATGCATTACCAGCTTGTTTTTAATAGTAGTTGCATTTTATTTCATCGGGCTACAATTATTGATCATTTTCATAATAGATTAAACTGCAGATTATTTTGTTGGTTAATTAATCATTTAGTTTTAAAACAAAGATAACTT